TATATGATGATACTATTTTTAATGGTGCATCTAGTAAAAAAATAACTCTGCGTTCAAACATATCATTCATAGTAGTTTTGTGAAATAAGGAAGATTTTCAAAACCAACATATTGAAATCATCTAAGAACTGAATCAGACAAATGACTTCTGATTGACTATCATCTGTTGTAAGCGTCACTTCAAGAATAGTCAAAATCAGATTTTCAATCCTATGAGTTTTTTAAACTTATAGCAAGATCATTGAACCATTTGAAAGTCGTTGTTACCATTGCCATTACACACTGTTTCTATCATTATAGATGAAGAGACTTTGATGTTTCTGTTCATTTATTAGTAAAATGACGGTTATTGGTTGATCCCTACATCGATCTCATTAAAACATCACTTCAATCATGATGTCTTTAATAAAGGGCAACTATAAGCTTCACAGTAAAATTTGATCCAAGAAGAGGACATATGTAGATTTGTAGAGGAAGAGTTTCTCTATCCAGTGGTATACTTACTATGAAATTCTGTTGTTCATTGTGAAAGAAAACTGAACTAAAAAGGATGAATTTGACAGATTTTAAGGAAGTCTTTCTGTACCAAAATTAAAACAATATAGAATCTATTCGAATTATGTGTGTAACATTCGATAACTCACACCGTTTTACTTTCACAGTTTGTGTCACTTCTTGATATTCAAGTTATGTTGTAGCTTATAATAATTTGAAAAACAAATTCTATGCATTCCTCATAATGCTACGAAAATATCAACCGATAATGGAATTTCTAATGATGAATTGACAGATAGAGAACGATCGCGAAAACAATTTCCATACTGAAGATGCTGCTAAAAATCAGCCTAATCTTATAAGAGTATGGGTGTGAGTTGTTGAATGCTACACACATAATTCAAGTAGGTTCTGGATTGGTTCTATATTGTTTTAATTTTGGTACAGAAAGATTTCCTTAAAATCTGTCAAATCCATACTTTTTAGTTTATTTTTCTTTCACGGTACACAACAGAATTTCATCATAAGTATACCACTTGATAGAGGAATTCTTTCTCTACAAATCTCCATATGTTTCCTTCTTGAGTCAAATACTTACAGTTGTCTTTAGGCTTCATCGCATTATTAGATGAATTGGCGTACTATTTTGAATAAATCGAAAAACGATCGAATTCAATTTTGAATCAAAGAATGTCACAATTCAAATTATGGCTAAAAGCCAATACGAATGAATATAAGATAATACGACAAATTGAATGATTACATAAAAAAGTGTTTTTGTACTGTTTGAAGCATTAAAAGAGTACTCGATTTGACCTTAGTCTTCTTATAAAACAAAACCAATAGTATTCGAACCTGCTGACCAACAATCAATAGCTTGAGGTAGATAAGCAACATTGAACTAAAGTCATAAAACAGTACATGACGTTTTCAATTAATTTTCCTTGCGCATTATTCCATCAAACGTTTACAGAAATAAATTCATCATATCCTTTCATAGTTCCTTTCAAGCACTATCGAATAGTACATCAAGATTTGCTTTTTAGTCAACTTATCTCATATACTGCTTTTGGCAAAAGACGAACCTCATATATACATATTCAGACGCATAATTGCTTTTGTAACTCTAGTATACATCAACAAAGAACGGTGCACGATCATACAACTATTCAAGACTTTACCAAGCAAAACTTATAATAAGTATTGAAGCATACAGCGAGACAATTGATCCTAAAGTTTGCCTGATAGGTCATGATAGACATGCCAACATGCTTCTTATTGGCTCTATCATAGACTTGCATGGATGTGATGAGAGTCCACATTTAAACATGAAAAGATTCCATCGTTTTGCACGCTTAAATCATGTAGGAATTACTCTTGCTAGATTGCTAAACTTATTTCTATTTCTGTGTTTCCTCATAGTTGAGCAATTGATTAAAGCTAGCTTTTACAAAATATAGAGAGTGGTCTTGAGACAACTGGTAAACAGAGTTAGTTATTCAGGCTTTATAAGTAGTGCAAGTAAGTGTGCTCGTGAAATAACTTACAGTGATAGCTTCTTTCTCGGTTTACGACTTCATCTTAAACAGATATCGTTTATGGACACTTCAGTACGTCTTGTTCTATAGGATAAAACCCCCATTGATTCATCATAAATTTTCGAATAACTAGCAATCTGGCATAATCTTTTGACAGTATTGATTAGCAGGTCTACATACACAATAGAGAATTTATTATACAAAAAAAATATGTTTTCATCATATCTAATTATTTTCCTATTAAAAATCTAGCAATAACGACAACCTCAATACCGACAACTACATTAACGACAACGACGTCCTCCCTATGAAGGATAAGATTGTCAATATCAACGAGGGTACGATCATCATCAACAGCTGCTATAGTGTGAATCAGTCATATGTGGTATTTTCTATTTCTATCTTCTGTTCTGCTATGATACATATATCACACGTACCATATTCATATGTCTTTTCTTCTCTTCTCTTGATATATTATAGTTATTTTCCATTTTATTATGTCTTTTTACACCTGTCCTTAGATTTTCTTCTAGTTCGTTCATCTATATATAGTTTTCATTTGAAAAATAAAGCAGAAGATTTCAGTTTTGCTCTGTTAGATCAATCTCCTGTTAACAACAACGATAACATTACAATCAACAGCAACAGCGTCAGGGCTGCGTGAGTCAAGGTGTTTTTCGAATCGAGTCGAGTCAAATCATAAGTGTGGGTGTGGGATGTAGCTGTAGCTCATTTCTTCACTCACATTCTTATTGTCACTATAGATGCCGAGAAATGCCACCGTGTGTTCCTTTGATGCAAATTTCAATAACAAAGCTTCAGGCACAAGAAAAACAATGTCACCGGCGGAAGAGCAATTCATATATGATTTGTAGTCTTTTCAAGGAGACAATCCTCCATTGTTGATGGTACATGTTTGTGACATATTCGAAAAAACTTTGGTATCAAACCCGCACACTTCAGAGTAAAAGCCTAAAGCCAGAGAACAGTCCGTCTATCGAACCAATGGAAGTTAATCATATTTTCGAAAGACCCTGTTAAACCATCCACGGCGGTGGTATATTTTATTCATTTTGCCATCAGTTTTCGAGCTTAGAGCATATATTGAAATAAGGTGTTGAGTGGATTATTGTGTAATTTTTATTCTTTCTTCTCGATACTCATCTTTACATGTGCACAGAGCACGACTGTATTCATACGAAATACATTAATTTTCATTTCTTTTCAGCAGAAAGGTTAAATATACTATAGCGACAGTTATTGAGCGATGCAATCGTTCTCACCAGCAAAATGTCATAACTCGAAGATTTTTAATGAAAATATACACAAATGACAATAAGCTAAAAGAAAAGCAGTATATTAATCTATTCTCTATCAACTCAATAAGTTAATCAACTGGGTGTTGGTATGAGTGTGGATTAAGAGAAGATTCACGCCTCACACCCAATGTATTCAACTAAGGCGAAAATTTCGCATACACGAAAATATAATCTCATAAATGAAGATTTTTTTTTGACAATAGCAAATAAAAAAAATTTTTCAATAAATGAATCGAGATGACTCGAGTCAAAAATTTGAGTCACGCTGTCTAATTTTCGAGTCATAATCATCCAAAAAAAGTGACTTAAGTGAACTTGGATCTGAGATATGACTTGGACTCTCCCAGCCCTGATATGAACAGAACAAACAGTACATTTTTAAATGAACCTTTCAATTGTGCAGTGGACAAGGCTAAGATCGAAAACGTTTGATTACAGATTGACATACCTAAATTAATGAATTACCCTAGTTTAAGATACGCTTTGCTCTGTGTGTTTCAACATAGTAGCATCATTCTTCAAGTGGTTTTTTTTAAAGAAATATAAGAAGAGACAGATATACCGATATCTGTTTACGTCCGTTTTCTAAGACTCATGAAAACAAAGTAATTATAATAATTGAGTTTTATTTATCTTCTCTTTAAGACCCTCGAAAAATAAGGAAAAGATATGCATGTCATTTTTTATATCATTTTATATAATACATAAAAATAGAGCAATGCTAATATATGAGCTTTGTTGATATCCGATCGTAACATAAATGAAAACATTGAAACATTTAGTTTTAATAATTGTTTATGTCGCTTTTTTTACACAACACATACAAACAGAGCACAATAAATATGCTACATAATTAATATCTTTTTTCGTGAGATTCATAAAAAAAAAAGCAATAAGATGTATACGTGTCTTTGGTTTATACCGACTTTTTTGAGATTATTTTGTAAAACAGATATGAAAATATATCAAGTTTGTGGATATCTATTTTCTAAAGTTCTTCATGTTGTGTTTAACGAACAAGTGTGTGTGAAAATAGAACAAAAAATTGTTAGATCGATGAACACTGTTAGATGGAAACAAGTCTGTTAAACATCTTATGCATATCACTGTATGAAAAAATAATTTCTTTAGATTATGAACGACTTAAAACAATGAAAAATATATGTATGAATTACACAATAAATTGTACTTCAACATACTAGAAACCGACGAAAAGATATTAAGACTTGGATTAGGGTTCCAGTTGCCAAGATGGCCTGTCTAAATTATTTATTCAAATCAATTTTTTATGTCTTTTTTCATAGAAAGTAAACTTGTTTTATAGCCGATTTGATCTCAGCTTATCTAAGTATTAGGATAAGTCTCTTGAATGAGTTTATCCATTTAACTGGTTCACACAATACTTTGAAAGCCACTTAGCAGGAAACAGAGGACTTGAAGTTTTCAGGAGACTTCGTGACACTTCAGATCGAAGTTTCTGCTGTTTCTCCCAAGAAGAGAGTAAATTATGATTCTTTATCTTATTGGAAGGTTATTGATAAAAATTTTATACCATAAGCTGCATTTTCCACTGCAAATAGTAACATTCCACATTTCTCAACTATTGATTATCTCATCAATGACACTTATCAAGATATCTAGATACTTAATGAAGTTCTTTTTAATCGCCATACTTGGTAATAATTAATTATTTCAATGATTATCATTCATTAAATATTGCCGTTGGTAATCATAGAAAAAATAAAGTGAGGATTTTGCTTAATACAACTTAATGTTTATACAGCGAAGTTTCTCTCCAAAATATATCTCTATCGATCGATATTTATTCATTATCTTACTTTCAAAATTAGATGACATCCAAATTGAAATTATGGAATAGTTGAATGTATTTTTAAATTTGTTGTTACCAGTTCTTTCACAGATAATCATTTATTTTTGTTTAATGCAAAAGGAAAAACTGTGACCTTAATTACATTTTGTTTTTCTTTATATTATATCGATACTTTTTTTAGAATTGTTGAGATTCTATCATAAATTAAAAAGTTAA